ATGGGAATATATGGCTACGAAGTGGAATATTCCACTAGGGTTGAATATAAAACATGGTGGAATATTCCACTAGGGTTAATATAAAACCTATTGATATATTCCACTAGGGTATCAATATAAGAACTTAAAATTGTTGGAGTAGGGTTGTTTATTTATATAAATTGTTATTAAAATTGTTATTCAAATTTATTTTTATAAAATTGTTATTATTTTGTTGTCATTTCTATTTATATGTATTGTTATATATAACATTTGTTAAATATTGTTATTTATATCATTATTGATTTCCACTCAAAACTCGTTTCATTGACGTGCCAATCATCACACGAGATCTCATTATTCCCCTCCCATACTATATAAGTAAACCCACACTATAGGAGGTGGGTGGGGTGGCGGGCTGGCTTTAGGCCCCCCCCTCGCATGCATACACTACTACACTCGCGCCCATTACTACTACTCTCCCAATCACTACACTAGCGATAACTACTGCATCCACTCAAACACCAATTACCAATTGATGTAACACTTGATGGTATGTTAACACTACTTAATCTATTGCATTCACTCAAACAACCATCATTAATTGATCTAATACTTGATGCTATTCTAATACTACTTAAACTAATACATTCTTTAAAACAAAAATCACTAATTGATCTCACACTTGATGGTATTATAACATTTTTTAATTTTATACATCTATTGAAACAATATTCACCAATTATCTTAACATTTTTTGCAATTATTATTTCTATTATTTCTACATTATCACTATAACATTGATTACCTATTTTAATTACATTAGTAGGTATAGTATCACTATATATTTTTCTATCATTATCAGTGTAACTAATATTTTTAAATATGAAATTTTTATATTTATTCATTTCATAAGTGCCATAATTCACATTATACCATATAATAATTGCATAAAATATTTTTTTTATTTTATCTTCTTTATTATCATTGATATTTTTATATACAATTTTATATTCATTATATTCAATGGGGATAAAAATCCCAT